CCCCACCTCACACACATCCTTGACGCTAAGACAGATACTCAGGACGCTGCTCAACCCATGGTGAGAGAAAAGATCCAGGTGAGTTGGATCAAGAGCAGCTTAAAATCCGCTGCAAGCCGGTTGCCTTTCCGAATAAATCCTCCCACTATAAGAACAAGTCATGTATGGCTACAAGCGTTTAAATTCATGCTTGCAAAATTTTAGCTACAAAAAAAGAAACTTAAATGCACGTTAAATGAGGTTGCGTGGGGGTGGGGGCGTCTTCTACGAATGTCAGTTATCCGTTTGCATACACCCGACTAATCGACCTTAAGCTTCCTTGCACAAACCTGCACAAACTAAGTTACGTTTTTTAGAACCAGTAATGCAATAGAAAATTAAAATAGCATACAATGTATAGCTACATAATTTTGAAAGCAGATGACGCCGAATTATGTTTGATGATTGATAGGCTGGTATCACAATTGCGCCTTGTAGTAAGTACGACTCTGTAATTCAGACTTTAAACACAAAAGTACACTCACACAAACATAGGCCTACGTCTACAATTGTGCAGTGATGCATAAATACAATAATACTGCACACATTCATAACATTACTACAGTAACGTGACAATAATAAAACCGAAAGGTCCACTGATCTCATATAAGAAAATATAATACATATTCCTCCAAGTATTGAAATGGACGCCATATCGTGTTGGGATGTGACAATAATTAGGATAGTGATATGATGATGATAATGATGATGATGATGACGACGACGACGACGATGATGATAACATGATGATGATGATGATGATGATGATGATAGCGACGACGTTGCTGATGATGATGTCATAATGTTGACGATAATGATGATGATGATGATGGTGACAATGATGATGCAGTATGATTATTATTAATATTATGAAGATGAAAATTACGATGATTTTGACGAGGATGACGATAATGACGATGATGATGATGATGATAATAATGATCATGATGATGTGGTTGATGTTGGTTATGGTGATGATTGTGCTACTCCATGAATGTTTATGCGATACTTGTGTTTCAACAGTGTTCGACGTGATTGTTACAGTGTAGAATGATATAAAAGTTTTTATCATTAAGTTTTACATTAATACTTCCAATTACTATTTTTGTCGGTATATAGCAGTGAGAAACCACAATCCCTGCCCCCCCCCCACCCATCCCGAGTGTACCTATAGGCCCTATTTTCAATTCTAATTTGGAAAATAATTAATTTCAGACACGTGACATTGACTTAGCAGTTTTTGTCATACTGATTTAGCTTGTAATTCTGCGTTTTGTTTTCTTTGAACATTAATACGTGAAGTGAAATTCAATACATTAGATGATAATGTAATCCACGGCTTAACTAGAACTCAACCATTCCGACAGAATGTGTCACGAGTGATTTACATCGCATAATTATCTTAATTGAATTAAGCTCTAATGTTTGTGAATGACAGCACTTAAAACATTTAAAGGACAACAATCGTCCCTGTTCACACTTGCTGCATACGTCATTCATAGCTTCATGTTCACATTAGTTTCTCCATGGAGGTATATACCTCCATGGTTTCTCCATGGTCTGACTAACGGGTCAAAAACATCAAGGCCGTCTACAATCGGCATGTTTGTTTTAATTGTGTATAAGTAATAAATAATAAGTATTAAGTTTTATATAGGACTATACTGTATATAAACTTATAAACTACGAATAGTGCATAATTATATTAAATTATTAATACTACGAATAATTATAAGAAAATACAAAAACAAATATTAAAGAGGTGTTTATACTAATCATTTCGATATATATATATATATGTATGTATATATATATATATTATAAGAAATTATATATACATTATCAATATAAAATTATATATATAATTTATATATAGGCCTATACGACGTTTTTGCATCTGTGTGTACAGTAGAATACTGCTACCATAGTATGTATTAATATTGTGTATTTAATATATTTTTGTTTATTTTAAACATTTTAATAATCTTAGCATGTGAAAACAAAGTAAGCCTATATTTATGAATATATTTTCCCAAGAAGTTTTTAAAGTGACATTAACAGTGAACCTATTCTTGCTACAATATGTGATGCGTGAAGATTACCGATACGTATTTATCCAGTTCACAGGTATCTAGACTAATTCGACCTTGCATTAATTGGTATATTTGCCTTTATAATTGTATTTCAATGATTTCCTATCTCATATCGTTGTCATAAGTTTTTATGGAATTTGAGTGTACTTAGTAATACGTACAGTACTGTTCCTTGCACGGTGGATAGGTGCCATGTTTTCTAGTCCCTAATAGAATACAACGAGACTATAAAGAATACAATACTCACACACATTCCGAACTTTATTACTGAAATGCAGTAACAGAACACCGTTGTTTAAAACATTTTTAGATCTGACGAATGAATAAAAAAAACTTTAGTGATGTGCAGTCTACCATGACGAGTGGTACAGTGCCGTCCACTCAAATAGGAAACTGTATAATATATAATTGTTTGCAATAGGCGCGGATCCAACGGGGGACCAAGAGGGCCCGTGACCCCCGTCGGTCAAGCCGAAAAATAAAAAAGAGGGAGAAAATTTGAGTTAAAGAGAGGAAAGGGGGGAAAAGTCAGTGCACCCATGAGTTCAGTGGCGACCAGCAGTGGGAGAAAGGAGAGCTCGATTGTTTGCCACTTATTCCCACCAACCACGGTGGGGCGGAGGTGGGCGTGGCAGCGTGAACTTCATAATTGTGCGCCGCCCCCCCCCCCCCCCCCCCCCCCCCCCCCCACTACCGTCAGAAAATCTCTGGATCCGCCGCTGTGTAAACATAACTACTTAACAAGGAAAACAAAATAAAACCTACCCTGCACGATGTACGTACGATTCAGTGCAGACGATACATGCTATCAAAACTCCAAATAATAATAATAACGAATGTTTTCTATCCAATGCAATAGTCATGATTCCAACAAATTGTTATTGGTCCGTTGTGGTGTGTTGGTGTTTACCGTTGCTTGTCAAACTACAGACTGACTTGCCAAGCGATTAAATGTACATCTTCGCCGGTTAGAATTATCAGTGATTCAAAGAAAGTTCACCGCACGACGGAAGTGAACCCAGTAACTGCAGACGGTAAATCACAAATTCGATCACAATATCAATGTAAAGTTCACAAAATACTTGTCTTGGTAAGCGAATCCTCAAGTATCAAAAGTTAATTTGATCGACTCAACCACGCGAAAAACTCACCTCTCGCAGAAGTTGTAGAAGACTAATGGAGTACAGATAATCAAGTTTATGGAACTGGAACTATTGATTTGGACTCTTCGATTTTTACAGGGGTAAGTTATAACTTACCAACATGACTTTGATCGAATAATACCAGCAAATAGCCGTTTAATGTACTTGTTTGACATAGGTCTAGTCTTTAAGTCAATGATTGGCGGCGATATTATCGGCAGTATTTAGCGATTAATTTTCTTGAAATTCAACAGACGTGTGTTTGTCGGCGAAATTAGGCATGGATTTGCAAAGGGCTGCTTTCCCCTACGTCTGAAAGGGAAATATTTGTCCAACGACTCATAACATATTAACGCGGCGTATGACTGTACTCACTGACTCTGTAACAGTACATTAATTCTACCTTCAAGATAAACGTTATAGTTAAGCATTATAAACTATAACTATAACAAAAGCAAAATAAAAATCATAAGAATCTTTGAGTAAAAACGATATATACACTTCGCAGTGGTGGTACCAGGATTAGCTCTCCGACGGGGGGACGATGTCCCCACAAGAGCCCTGATGACCACAAGATTGTAAGTGGGCGTGGTCAGGGATGCTTAGTACCCTCGGAAGTGGTCCAGGGGGAAATAGGCTACAGTACCCCATTGCGTATCAACACATCATTAGGCCTATATTATCTGAAATAATATTTAAGTACAGTAGCCTGTTTCAGAAAAAGCAATAATGCGGATCTTTGAATTATGATTGTTATTCTGTGACTCGATGAAGCTTTCTTGCCTCATTAGCCCAACTTCCGGGCTGGATTGGCTTCAGACACGTGACTCCTTCCAGAAAGACGACATCAACAAAGTCAGTTGGTGCACTCGGTAACGATTTGTTATGTAAGAGATATAAAGACGATTTGAGACATAAATATTGTCCCATATCAGGACTCGTCAAACTATAAACTGAATTTTGATGTCAAGGTGGAAACCTATAGGTTTCTTATAGAAGCATATGGCACAGCGGTTAAAACAGTGGCGTATCTAGAATTTAAAAGCGGGTGCTGATGGGGGACGCGAAGGTGAAGTAGGGTGGGGGCTCGATGATCAGAAATAAGGGGATTTTAGGTGAATTTTAACTACTTGACCGTGATTTCTGGGGGAGACTGGTGGAGTTCCAAGTTTGGCTTATCCAATGCATTTTATTAGCGTTGTCCCTAACCACCGGGAGTTTACTGGTTTAATATTTTAGTACCTGGCCGATTCGATTTCTAGTGCGTTGCACTAGTTTCAAATTATGGAATACCCCCTCGGGGAGCTGAGTGTTCCATAGGTAGGTCTATTTTGATCCATGACGCAAGGGGAACCCGGTAAACACACACACAAAAAAAACCCCATTTATTTAGTTATTTTATTTAACTGTTAGTTAAGTCCTTGATATATATATATATATATATATATACATATATATATATGTATATATAAATTATGTGTATACTGTATATGTACTGTCTCTTATACACATCTCAATGCAATAGTCATGATTCCAA